AATCCTACGAAAAAATCTCAATAGCCACAGTGCATGATCGGCTGAAAACTCGGGAACATGCCGAGTCTTAGCTTACAATTATTTCAAAATACGAACCTTTTTGAACGCTTTCACTAGTTTCTTCTTGTCATAGTGGTCGCTTATTCCTTGCACAGTTGTCAGAGTTTTACGACCACTTCGTTGCTGAATGCGAATATGTATTGGCTGGTCTTGCTTTGATGATTCGTCGACACCCTTGGCAGCATCCGTGAAAGGATCTACAAAACGTGAAAGAGCGAAAATATTGCAGAAAACAGCGGATAAATACTAACAACATTATGTTGAACAACATGTCATAGAAAGTGAAATTACCATAAGTTTCTAAGTTCTGGATTGACATGCGAGCTTCGTGACACCAACTGGGTGAAAATCAGGTCGATATAATCTACGATGTAAAGGATTCAGGACGATTCCACCACAGACGTTACCCTACTTATCTCAGAGTACGGTATTTATGGAAATTGTGAAGAAGAGGGAAATGGAAAGCTTCGTAAACCGGAAGTGATGTCATCCAACGTCATCAATCATGTGATTTTCACAAAGAAGAAGTGCTCCTTGGGCGCTCAGACAACACAGTAACAAGCGCTAGAATATTCAAGAAGAAGACAACAGTTTATCATATTTGTACAACGACTGGAAATTTCAACTCCATTATTGTATCTACTACTCTCCGGGGTTTCATTTTTGACTCATTTTTCCCGGAAAATTCGTATCGTCGTGTCGATAGATGATTGTTCACTTCCTCAAATGACTGCAGGCTCACAAAGTTGGTTCTCTTCCGAGAAAGCAAGTCATGGCTTCCTAGCACATATGCAACCATGTTTAGCTACAATTTAGCTGCTGTAATCAAAGTATTATGCAAACATGCACGATGCATTTGAACATGCAGTTATCCTTGAGAAGTTGCCTTTACAAATAGAGTGCATCGCTACATTTGGTAAGAGGTTTTTTTAGGAAAGCATTTACGAAATAAGCTTAGATTTTAAGCTTAAATGTAAGCTTAGTTCTTTTTATATTTTTAAAGTTTTAAAACATTGAGACTTTCTTATAATGTATAATGGTTTTTTAAAAACTGAGCCATTATTATGTACAGCGTGATACACATTAAGTAACTTTATTTCAGTAAGCTAAGGTACACTGTACCAAGTCCCTCCATCCTTCCCCCCTCCCCCCGGGCATTTGTCAGGCATTTCAATTCTTTTTTTAGAAAAATTGTTGCAAGCCCGGGAGGGGGTGGGGGTGGGGGTACTCTCTATAATGGCCTATACGAGGAGGCTCGTTCTGAAAGGAGTACCTTTTTCAGACTTCAGGTATATAAAAGGTTAGGGTTTTCACAAGGTATATGAAAGGGAAGGGAAATCGGTCATTTAGGTATGATGTGACTGGCAACCAAATAAATGATACTTGTTTTTTGACTAACATCTCTTCTGGTAATCAGTGATGTTCTCCCATAACATTGTGAACTCATTAACTTCATTCCAAGAGTTTAGGAAAGGGATGCAGTGTTCTTTAGTAGGTACATGAAAGGAGAACCCTTTTTCAATGAAAGGTATACTAAAAGGGTACCTTTCCTGTCAAACTGATATCCAAAAGGGTAAGGGGTTTGATCTCAGGGCGGAGCCTTCCCATACAAAACTTAGTAGAGTACCTCCGCAGGGTTGCAAGTGCCTCACGGTGAGACTAGAAGATTTCTGTAAATGTGTATATTTATCAAGAAATTATTATGATTGATCTCCATTCTAAAGGTACTATTACAGAATGCAATGGTTTCTTACACCGTCAGAATGTTATTTTCCAGGTGACAATCTCCTTGTTGGAACAAGGCAAGGGCACTTGCTGCTGTACAGTGTTAAGGATGGCACAGGTGATATAGAATTCTGGTGTGTTAGCAAAAGCAAAAATATCACATGACTTGAATTTAAGGTGCATGTAATAGACCGTTTTCACGTGACGTCATAAAATTCCAAAATCCAAAACTAAAGAGCCACGAAAATTTTTATCCTCATAAGGCATAAGGGGATCTAAACCTACATCTGTTTACAACTTTTCAGCCCAACAGCGTGCTTTGTTTGGAAACCAGCGCCATTTGAAGTTCAGAGTTATGGCGGTGTGTGACATACCGCTCTGATTGCGTTTGTGGAAAAGTATACACTTATCTAATGATTTTTAGCCTTATAGGAGTTAAAGTGTTAGGAAAAGTGCTTGTGTAAATGTTTGTCGGTTCAGTTCAGATAATCAGTTGCCTAGATAGCCAAAGTAAGTTCCAGATGTTTGCACTATTTTCCGCCCACCATGTTGGTGGAGCACAGAGTTCCACCAACATGGCGGTTCCATACTGGGCTCTGCAAATTTGCACAAAACATTTCGATGGATATCTGAAGTTTGGGAAAATGCAGAGACCCAAAACTTGGAGAAGTGTCCTCTTTACCTGTCTCCTATAATATCAAAATTTCTTGACTTTATCCACTGAATAGTTTTCAATTATTTTTTGTTGCATCACAGTGAAAACCATCTATACAGTTGAATCTCCACTAATGGCCACCAATTGCAGTTACAACATACCGGTGGCCTCTACAACGGCGATTCTTTTTGGTCCCTGCAGACAATCAATATAGCCATTTCTTATTTTAACCTCTCTATAACAGCCACCTTTTCACAATGGTAAAGGTCACTAAAATGCGCCCCGATTGCCAAAATAACCACTCAACAACGGCCAGTTAACCAGCGACTGACAAACAGTGTATACAAAACCCAGTTTATTGTAAAAGGTCACCAAACTTGATCTGTACCATGCTTTGCTGGTCTCTGTTTCTGTTTAGTTTTTGTTTGATTGATATCTTTTGATTGTGCTACGTATAGTTGATATGCTAAACTAAGTCTCTTTTAAGAAATGAAATGTTGCACCCCCCCCAAAAAAACAGGTGTCATGTTACACCCCTTCCTCTCCATATTGGTCGCCTCTCTACATCGGCCACATTCCTCTGTTCCCAAGGTGGCTGTTGTGGAGAGGTTTGACTGTATGCTGTTTGAAAAAGTCTATGCTTGTAACATGTTTTATTAGATAGTACTTCTGTTAACCCTTGAGTTTTTTTTATTTTGTTATTAACAGGAGATAACAGATTTGAGGTGGAGCTACGTAGCTCAAACAAGCTATTCTCAAAGAAGCCTATTTTTCAGGTAAGAATTTAAACAAACTTGGCTTCTTTTGTTTGTGATGTGATCATGCTTTTAGCCAGATGGGTGTCCAGGCATCCTGTGGATCACCACTTTCTAAAGAAAATTGGTTTATTTTTCATATGTTGCCTTAAAAATTACTCATTTGAGCAGGCCCTGTAGCACATTTTGGAGGGCCACTTTTCAAATTCTGGCTAAAAGCCTGCATGTGGTAACACCTCTATTGTGACATGAGTAGACTGAATTGGAACATGTAGTTCTAGAAGAAGACTCTAGGCACCATGTTTGTGGAAGAATTGTGGTCTGAGACACCTTAAATTTAAATTTCAGTTTGGTACTTTTTCTACCTTTTCCAAGTAGGTATGTGAGTCAAGATATAGCTGTATACAAATTGAGATCTGTCCCNGTTTACTGATGATTATGCCACCAGATTTTTCACTTGCTAAAGAGAAGTTTCAAAACATTTTCTTTGGGAAGAAGGCATGCCATTGATATTATTGCATGATGATATAATATTGATAATGATAATGTTGCATGTTGTAATGTATTTGACATATTTTTTCAATAGGAGAGAAAACAGTCATCAGTATTTGGTAAGTTTCAAGATTTATTTCAACCTACTTCACCTTTCAGTTTTTCTGTTCCTTTCATTAAATTCATTTTTTTTCTAATAGAAACTGTGCATAACCCTTATTAGTATCAAAAAAGGCCACTGATCTTGGCATCTCAACTTTTTATGATAGATTCAGAATTAATGTTAATTTAACTTCCTTTAATACATGTGCATGTAACAACTGAGTGTCCTCTATGTAGAGATTGTTTGACTATCTTATAATTTGTTCTCATAGATCCGTCACCACCTCTTGAACTGAAGTTATGTGTGGCAGTGAAGAGAAAACTGCAAGTAAGTGTATAACACACTCTTAAATTTTGTAATGTAATCCATCGATTGGTTAATTGACGATTAATCAATCAGGCAATCATGCAGACACTCAGTCAGTCAGTCAGTCAATGATCAATCTGTCTCTTTAACATTGTTGCTATTTTATTTCTTAGTTGTATAATTGGAGAAATGGAGAATTTCAAGAGCTGGAGGATCTTCTGGTACCAGATGTAGCTAGATCAGTGGTGTGGTCAAAGGAGTCCCTATGTGTTGGCTTTAAGAGAGAGTACTCTCTTATAAAGGTGTGTCACTCTTGCCACAGTGAGAGAAACATGTCTTGCTAAAAAACACAATCTAGTAGCCATGTGCAAGGCTCAAAACCAGATCTTGTCTTCCCAGTCAAAAATATACTACACTAGGAACTAGACCTCCATGTCTTAAATTAATAAGCATTCTGTTCTGTTTTAGACCAGTACAGGTGCTGCGACTGAGTTGTTTTCAACCGGGCGGCACTTGGAACCTACAATTGCTACTTTGCCAAGTGGCGAGCTCATCCTTTGCCGTGATGACATCAGCATTATAACTGACAGTGAGGGAAAGAAGACACAGAAACAGACCTTAACTTGGACAGACACGCCTACAGAACTGGGTAAATAGCAGCCAAAACTGTGTATAATTAAGTAATAGCATCATCATAAGAGGTATTAAAGGATACAAGAGATGGGTAGAAACATGAGTAATACTATTTTTTATTGGCAAGTGATATTGACACATAAAACTTGGATTTTCTACTTGATTCCTCACCGTGATAAACCAATGTGTAATTCAAATTTGTCCCTTATCTGTTGCAGATTATGTTGAACCATACGTCATTGGTCTTCTTCCTCGTTATGTTGAGATCCGAACCATCAGTCCCCGTGCGCTTATTCAAAGCATTGAACTGCCCAAACCTAGATTCATCACCCAAGGAAAACACATGTACGTGGCATCGACGAGCCACGTGTGGAGACTGATTCCCGTGTCAATACCCATGCAAATCCAGCAGCTTCTGCACGACAAACAGTTTAGTCTTGCACTGATGTTAGCAGTAAGTCATCAGATGTTTTCTGAGCTATAAACATGTGGCTAAATATCATTTAGGCAAGGTTAAACTCAAGCTAATGCAGCCA